GGAACTTCCTGTTCCTCAGTGTGTGCCCATTACCCCTTGTCCTGTCGCTGGGCACCACTGAAAAGAGCTTGGCCCCATCCTCCTGACACCCACCCTGCAGATATTTGTAGGCATTTATAAGGTCCCCTCGCAGCCTTCTCTTCTTCAGGCTGAACAAGCCCAGTTCCCTCAACCTCTCCTCGTAGTGGAGATGCTCCAGTCCCCTCACCATCCTTGTAGCCCTTCCAGGGGGTATCAAGAGAAGGATTTTTTGCCATCTGATGCACGCACCCTGTTTGCCCTGCTGTTACAACCACTGCCCTGTTTTGTGAACATTTAAAGCTTAATTTCCTTTCCTGACGAGGAATTTGGGATGACAGTGACCTCCAGGTCTGTCGTGTGGCTCGGCCAAGGTGGTAGGACAGGTGATGGAGGCCGGCGTCGGCTGGGGACGAGCTGGTGCCTGCGGCCGCTGTCCTGCCCTTCGTGGCTCGAAGCCTCTGCGAGGGGTCTGGGGGGGGACGGCGCTGACGTTAGCGACCACGACTGGAGACCTCGTCAGCAGAAGGCAGTTTGTTGTCAGTAATTAACACTAATTTCCAGTGTAGGTTAAAATCTGAACCCGGCGGGATAAGCACTAGAGGGCAGTCTGGGTTTGGGTGTGGACAGGGCGGAAACCCCTGCGCGTTCTCTCTGCTGCCTGGAGCCAGCTTAGGACCGCGTGGGCGATGCCTTGAACCGCGTGGGCGATGCCATGAACCACCTGGGCGATGCCATGAACCACCTGGGCGATGCCTCGAACCGCGTGGGCGATGCCATGAACCACCTGGGTGATGCCATGAACCGCGTGGGCGATGCCATGAACCGTGTGGGTGATGCCTCGAACCACCTGGGTGATGCCTCGAACCGCGTGGGCGATGCCATGGACCACCTGGGCGATGCCATGAACCACCTGGGCGATGCCTCGAACCACCTGGGTGATGCCATGAGCCACCTGGGCGATGCCATGAACCCACACGTAGGTGTTCTGCCGCACAGAAGGACCCACCGGGTCCGGCTTTGCGAGGACCTGTGCCACCGGGACAGGGGCTTCTGAGGACCTGGCTGGAAAAATAACATTACCTGGGAGTGTGGGATGCTGAGCTGGCAAACTGGTGTTCCTCTGTCGTGAAGATGAGACGTGGACTGGATTTCCCGTAAAGTGGGAGTGTGTTGGGAGTTGGTGATTAGGGATGGAGAAGACGACTCCAGCGGGTGTGTAATGTGATGATGAGGGCAATGGAAAAGACGTGTCAGCAGGGATTGTGTTAAATTTTTCGTATCACAGCCTGGCAGGGGTTGGAAGGGACCTCTGTGGGTCACCCACCCAACCCCCTGCCCAAGCAGGGTCACCCAGAGCAGGGGGCACAGCACCGCGGCCAGGCGGGGCTGGAATATTTCACGG